TTAAATCTTAAGTCTTAACTCAACAAAAATCCTTAGTTTGATATTTGTTTAATTTTAACCACCTGATATCCCCACTGATTGTTATCTATCAAGTTCTCTAAAGCTCGATCATTGTGGATGCTGACAGTTTCCAGTCCTGCAGCCGCGCGCTCCATAAATGCTCCCGAATCCTAGAGTTTCCGGTTAAAAAAAATAAATAAAATTAAAATTATTGATTAGGAGTTGCAACAAAACACAATTATGATAAAAAAATTATGGATAACGAGTGGGAAGGCTTTATAAAGGATGATAAAGGAAGTAGGGTGGGATTTAGTTACCGGTAGACCAACCATATTGCTTAGCAGAGAGATGTTGTTAACTCCACCTTTTAGAGCTATTTTGGTCTCGAATCTGAAATTTGAATTTCTTTTGGTTCCGTGTCCAGAGCCTAAGGTAGCGAATCAAGGTTAAAATTTGCCTCTTTTTTTTTGGTGGTTTTTTTTGCTTTAAGGAGCATCATTTTGCCGGATGATGAATAAAAGGGTTAATAAAAGAACATCTTGAAGGGACAGAAAGTAACTTAGGGAGTTAGCATGCAAATCAAACATAAAAACGAAGTACTTGAAATCCAGGCATTCAAAGCTCTTTGGTACAAAATTGAATTAAACAACAAATTTGGTCTGTGCAATTTTTGTCTTAATTTACTCGAGGGTTATCTTACCAATGAGTGCTCCATTGACGAATGCACGCAAAACATGCCCTCGAGACGCGACATTAATCACGGCTTGTGATTGCTTGTCCTGCTCAAAACTACATTTGGTATCTTGATGTGTTAGTAGCAGAGAACATTGATTATGAATATTACAAGTATAATTGATGTCTCTTTAAATTATAGCTTTTACTTTCTTTAAACAAACAATTTGAGGAGGGGTTTTCAAGAAAGTTTGTATATTGATTGATCTTTTTTTCAAGTGGAGAACTGTATATTACGTCTAAGTTGAAGTTTTATGATTCGATGCATTTAATAACTCACCTTGCAGTGTACCATAGATAATCCGTTGTGTCTTTTGTAGTTTTCATCTGTTCTAACAACAAATGTGACTTCCGAGAAGTATCATCAAATACTGGAATAACTTCATCATATTCTTCCCATTTTTGTGGCGAGTCTAACTTCACGACTGGTTGCCTTGTTCTCGTGTTATTATTTCGGGCACTTACCTGTTGAAGATGATTAAAACTATAAAAATGGATTTATTTGTTTATTTAGTTGTGTTTACAATTAGGCAAAAATCTCAGGGATTACTTTTGCGATTATTAATTATTATCCATATTATACATGCCTTAGCTGTGTTAAACACAACAGTTTTGCAGTCGGGCAATATACTGATTGAATGACGAGGAATTTGATATGTTCCATTTCGAAATTGGACTTCTGCATTATGTCTAATGTTCGTGTTCACCAAAAATGCTGCGCATTGTCCTTTCTTTCCTGAATACACGTAGGCCTGTAAACAAATATCAACCAAACTGAACTTTTTTTTTCATGATTTTTTTTTGGAATATTTGGAGTTATAAAGAAATCTTACTTCTTGCTGTGGACCTAAAGGGATTATAATTCGTGATCCGTAAAGTAAAGTCTGTGAGCAAAGCTTCACTGCTGCATGTAGTTCCTGGAGATGACCCCACTTTGGCTGCCTTATTAGACCTGTAAGTTTTCGAAAGTTACCTTTTTTTTCGTTCTTAGATTTTTTTGTTTATTTTTATTTTTTAAATATAATATGTGCAGTATAGTCACCATATTCATCCAAGGGTGCTTGATCGTAATAACTGGTTATTACAAATGCTGAGGCTGTGTGCCCGAAATTCGTTCCTCCATGATACTGAAAGCAGCAAAAAAAAAAGGGTAATTACAGAAAAACTCGGAATTAATTCAAACTTTAGGGGTGGTTCTGTAGCATACTAATTTTCATCTCGATTTTTCATATTCTTTATATATGTTTTTTGGCGAACGGTATGAAAAAAGTTCGTACTAACCATGTAATAGTTTATGAAGCTGCCATTCATTTTGACTATGAACAGAGCAGCGTGATATGCGATGTCCTCGGCTGATCTGATTCGAGTGATGCTGCCATATAAGTCATAGCTGGGAAAAAAAAAATAGAAATTTGTTACATACATACATTTCATTGCAAAAATGTGAGGAAATAAAGATGAATTTATTTATTGAAATTGTTCTCACAAGTGTGTCCAGTTTTCTGTCCAAATTGCTGGTTTTTTTGGTGAATTTGGGCCCACAAATGTCTCCCCACACATAAATCCATTGCATGCGTTGATCTGCAGAAACCCAATAGTTAAGGTATGTAACAGTCCCGTTTCGGAACCATTCCGTCGGAGTTTGTAACCGTTAGATCAACTATATATGACGGTTACATGATGATCTAACGGTTACAAATTTCGACGGAATGGTTCCGTAACGGTTCCTTAGCATTTCTCCAAGTTTATATTATCTTAATGAATTATTTTTAAAATTTAACATAATTATTCTGTAATTGGATCAAATCAGTTGTTATTATTATTAATATTATTATTATTATTTTATTGGGCTACGAGCACTATTGTTTGTGGAGTTGTACTGAAACTTTAATATTGTAAATGGGCCTAATATTTGGGCTGGGGTTTTCTTACAACGGGATCAGGAGCATCGTTTTGCTTGCACATAACCCATGGGACGCCAGTCTTGAGGCCCACGGCCATTGCTGCGGCCCAACGGACATATGGCGGCCCATGTTTGCCGAATCTCTTTTCTACATTTTGGTACTCGTTCTCAATCTGCAAAAGAAGATTAAAAACGATCCAAAAATGAGAAAAATTAAAAGAAAAATACGAATGACAATAAAATTAAATTAAATAAAAGATAGTGAGAAAAAAAAAAACTACCTGAGAAAGTATAATAGGACCTCCTTGTGAAGCATACAGTTTATTGGACTTCATCATGTTCACTATTTTCGTAGTGAAATTCTTCATGTAAAACTGTTCTCCAGATCGTGAAAAAAAATAATTAAAAGAAAAAATGTGTACAACAATATAACTGTTAAACGAAACAAGTTGCTTGTGAACACTGTCTGGGCTTCAGCGGATCTTAAGTTCGTTTAAAATTTGTTTAGTTAAAACATAAGTTCGACTCATTAGTAACGGTAAACGAGTCAAACTTGAACTCGTTAAACTCATAAAAACTCGAGCTTGAGTCAGACCAAAAAGAATTTAAATGTATTCAAATAATAATAATATTAATACCTTAAACGGTCCATTGTCAGATCGAAAAACAATGTTGGGAACATCATGAAGCCAGAAAGGAAGGCCCCTGCATGCAGTTGCATATATTAACATTTATCCAAGCATATATTAACATTTATCAAATTGTTTAAAATAAAATAAAATAATAATAAAATTTAATGAAGGTTTAATTTAGCTGAAAAATGCTACAGTCATGTTACGGAACTATTCCGTCGTGATTTGTAACCGTTAAATCATCATATAACCGTCACGGATAGTTGATTTAACGGTTACAAATCTCGACGAAATGATCCCGTAACGAGATCGTAGAATCTCCCAATTTAGCTATTTACCCATAGGACCATTCGCTTTCAATAAAGGGTCCAATTCGAAGGCAAACATAGAGGCCTTGAGCTTCAACTTCCTTTATAAATCTTATTATGTCACGTCTCCCACTGAAATCATACTGAAATTAAAACAATTTTTAAATAATATATAAATATAGATTATTGATTTTATATTAAGTTTAATTTGCTAGAGAGAAATAAAATAAAATAAAATAAATAAATAAATGAACCTGTCCTGGTTTGGGCTCGTGAAGGTTCCAGAAAACATAAGTGTCGATTGCGTCAAGTCCTCCGGCTTTGGCTTTTGATATTAAAGATGGCCACATCTGCACGTGGAATTGCAATAAAATTTGATAAACTTGGGTGATCTTTAATGAGCATTTGAATATTAATTAGAATTGCATTTGGAAGTCACCTAAAATATATTCCCGTTAGGATTTTTTTCATTAGAATTTCATAATTTCTTGTAGTATATAAATGTAATTAGCGTTGAATTTTGACGATTCTAATGACTGAAGCATGAGTGGAAACAAAAATCCCAACAAAAATTTCATATTTCAAAGAAAATTCCTACATATGACAATTTTTGGGGAAATGACAATGGTAACTTAAATTACATAAGAAATTCCAACAGTAATTAAACTCGTTCCAGCAAGATATTTTCGTTGGAATCATGATAACGAAAGCTATAACGTTGAAATATATCCGTTGGAATTTTTATCGCTTAATGTATTTACACCTGCTCAAAAGGTAGTGTATGACACATGTCAATTCATTATTTGTTAATAATATTTGTTAACAGTATAAATGACTCCATAAATCGTACCATCTGATGGCTCCATAACAAAAATATAGAACATATGTTGTATTTTTTTGTTGGATTATGATAATTTTATTTTATAATTGTGGATGGTTCTATAAATCATGCCTCCTCGATTTACTCATAAATAATTGAAAAGTCACACATAAGGAGAAAAAGTCCAATTAATAAAACATGAAATACTACAGTCTCGTTACGGAATCATTTCGTCGACATTTGGAACCGTTGAATCATCATGTAATCGTCGTGTATAGTTAATCTAATGGTTACAAATCCCGACGAAATAGTTCTGTAACGAGACTATAGAACCTCCATAATAAAACACACACAAACGGGTAAAGAGAGAGAGATTACATCGGGTGTGCTTCTTGGATAATGAATTGAGCCAGAGAACAAAAGCTTCCTCTGCCCATCGATGATTAACGACCTCCCGTCGTAGGTCACATCGCCGCCACTCGCACCACCGAGCACCGCCGCCAAAACTGCCACCACAAGCCACCGGAAAATCACCATATTTTTTATTTTTATTTTTCCTCTATTCCAACAGTAAAAAGAATCAAAAACCACATTATAAATAATTATGCGACAATTTGTAAGTGTCCCTGTGCAAAAAAATAGCTTGTAAGCAAAGAAAATTTAATTTCTGAAATTGAAAGATAAGGCGAGTTTGAATTGGAGTATAATTACAGCGAGATACGCACGTAATAATCTTGCATTAAAACATGGGATCTCTGGAGTTGTACGATAATAAAAAGACTCTTTCTTTTTATTTATTTGATTTTTATCTCACTAAAATTGAAAATGAAATAAAAAATTCAAAAAAAAAACTATATTCATTCTTTTACTAAAATCAACTTCCTTTTTTTTTTAATTATTATCTTTTCATTTTACTTTTTCATGTGAGACAAAAATTTGAGGAAAAAAAAAATATTTCATAAATGCATGCAAAGACAAATCAAGTTTTTTGAGTAATAAATAAGCCTGTAATTAATGACAGTTAAATAACGGTTTCTGAATCTAATTATATCTTGAAGATTATTAATCGGCTCTAGTTGAGTTTAGGTTCATTATTTGCTATAGGGATAAGGATTAGCGTACAACATGGTGGGTCTGCCTACAATTAGTTTCACAAATTATTTTTCGGCCACCTAACTATTCATTTATTTATTTTTTTAACAAAACTACATATATATTATAGGAAGATGTTACTGTCCCGTTACATAACTCTTCCGTCGGAGTTTGTAACTGTTAGATCAATTATCTCTAACGATTACATGATGATCTAACGGTTACAAATCTCGACGAAATAGTTCCGTAACAGGACCTTATCATTTTCCTATATTATATAATATGTCATACTATACAATACTCGTGTATGTGTACACGAGTGTTGAGTTATAAAATATAAGATAAAAGTTGTTGCTAAAATAAATTTTTTTATTTAAAAATTTTGATGGACTAATTAATGAAAATAAAGAGGAATAGATAGTGGTGAATGTCATTTGTAAATCGTAATTTATGAAATAAATATCAGAAAAAATTATTATATGATAAGATTGCTACTTGCCTAAGAAAGAAATGTGTACTCAGATAAAAAAATAATAAAACTAAATCTACACTTACCAAATTTGAAAAAAGTTATTTATGTCTAATACCAAATCTAACTCCAGAGTAAAAATTAATATCCTCCCTATATATAATTCCCGAATGCGCTGAGCCTACGTGGCTGCTTCTGGTGCTTCGGAATCCTACTTGGCGAATAATCATTCTTCGTAATTAGGTTTGGACAATTAATATTGATATATTAATAATTAATAATCTAGGTTCGGACATTCCATAAATATTATTTAGCTAACTTATGTATTTTAATATCATTTGTACTAATATAACTCTTTAATTCTTTGTAATTTTACATAGTGAGACACTAAGTCTAAGTGACTAATATATCCTGACTTTTGATTTTTTTTTTCAATTAGCTATTGAATTGTAAATGTATTTTAAAAGTTGATAACTTTTGTATTTCTTGTCGGTTTTACATATATAATATATTAAATTAATCAACTTTTGATGATTTTCGATTTGACATCCATAGTGTATATATGAAATAAATAAATTATATTTATCTTTATAGTAATAAAAATAACAATATTTATTAAAATTTATTATAAAATAAAATTATTTCTCAATTGATATATTTATGTTTAATGTAGTTATATGTTGTAAGTTAAAAAAATTATTATAACATGACACAGGTAAGTCGCAAAAATCATACTAAATATATAATAATATATATTTTTATAAAAGGTATTTAAATTTTCAACTACTTTTTCTCATTAATTTTATTTTTTAAGAAACATTAGCAAACACCCGTGTAATACACGGGCGTTGTACTAGTATAAACAATATTACGAAACATATATTTTCGCCACGTCTGAAGTATGAGAATATGCCATTTAGGCTCAACATCTTTTGAATTAACATATAGTGAGGGATTATTATATAAATAATTTTATAGATATCACATTTTAATTTTCAAACTAAATATGTCTACTTTATAATGTTGTTCTTAATGTTGATTAATTCGGCTTTAGATTTGAGAAACCAAAGCCAAATAAATCACGATGAATGGATTTTTGGAACAACGAAAACCGGAACAGAACGAATGCTACTCAAAGCGAACCGATTCATTCCGGTTCGAGTTTTAATAAATAAAAGCAATTTATTAATAAGAAATCACCGTCTCCTCCTCCGGCGACTGTACCTGAAGCAGCTCGAGGCCGACGGCGTCTCACAGACCTTCAAATAAGAATTAGGACGATTTGAAGGCCTCTGGCAGGTTTGTTGAGCATTTTTGTTTATTTATTATGATTTTAATAGGGAAATTTGTAGATTAACCATTTTTTTTATATACAATTTAATAATGAAATTTGCAGTTTTTGCAGATGGGTTGTTTGTGTTTTATATATTCGTTTGTGCCTTGAACCATTTGTGCTCACTCAGTGTTTTTACTTATTATAATCAAGATTCCAACTTTATTTAAAAAATAAAGACAGTTCTTTTTTATGGGTTCAGAGCAAGAGACCTGAAAGAGAAATGCTACGGTCCTGTTACGGAACCATTCCGTCGGGATTTGTATCCGTTAGATCATCATGTAACCGTGGGGATAGTTGATCTAACGGTTAGAAACTCCGACATTTGTGGGCCTTAAGCTACCGTTAATTAGGTATATGCAGAGCATAAGATGAAAGATGAGTAGTAGAACAAAATGGACTTATCACTAATTACATTTATTCGGAGTTTCATAATGACATTTGTGTACAATTTCCATCTTTAGATCACATTGCTGTTCGTTTATAATAATTAGTTTGTATATGTATGTGTTGCCTGGTTTGGAACTCTAGTATTTTTCGGTTATAACAAGATATAGCTTAGGCCGTTTATTCGCAATGTGCCTCAATCAGCAGATCTTTCTGAACTCCCGGGCACGGGTCCCCTCCGAATCTTTGGTATGACATTGGAACAGAACACTTTTTCCTCCATAAACAAGCCTGTGATTGTCATTAAGTGTTAATGCATGGATAATAAATAAATAAACAAACAAGTGAACAAAAATTGAAGCTCACATTCTCGACAACGGCTCTGGAATTGATCGAGTGACAGCTCCCGATTGTATAATTACCACAACCACCAGTAAGGCTTCCAAAACTGGCGAATATGATTTTCGAGATGTATTTATCGGTAGGGCAGTAGAGCCGGACTTTGGGTTTAGTTATTCTGTGGCGCTTTTCGTACGTAGATTTGTACTTGTGTTTGTAAAGATTTTCTCTTATCCATGTGGTGACATGCGGCGGATGAGAGTATTTAACATGTCCACATACTTTAGTAACCGAGACAGTATCAACTGTTATGCCTGTAGGATCGCCTTTTTCTTCTTCTTCGAATAATACTAAGAGGTTGTCTGTAGGTTTGAGGAAAGATCTTGGTATGTGATACCTGAAAAAAAAAACATAAGGTGATCAAATTAGCAAAATTACATGAAAGAGAGTCATGATATTATATTATATCCGTGCGAAAAATGTGTAGAAATGATAGTTTGAATTGATTTTTTAAGTTGTGTGCATAATGTGATGCTTTTACCATATCTGTGAAGGTTTGCCATCCGGCGTATGGAAGGATATCCAATATCGGCCGATACTGTGATTGTTAACCCAAGCTTCGCCTTTTCCCATGGTGGCAAGATTTAGTGCAACCGGTTCAGTTCCATCAGGTGCATCAAATTTGGTCTTTCAAGATGTTAGCCATAAAAAAAAACGAAAAAAACAAATTAAAAAAAAAACATTTTTTTTTTAATTAAAGACATACAAAATTGGTTTATAATTAGGAAAACATATGTTTCATATTTTTATCCTCACCTTATACCATTTGAGTGGCTGAGAATAATTGCTTAATTTGCTCCACAGTGTATGTTTTGATCCTTCTTCTGTGTAAATCTGTGACTTCTCTCCCAGTAGCCCAACCTTTTGGAAAAAATAATAAAATAAATTAAAATAGGAAAATGAAATCTTCATTCATATTTACCAAAGATTAATCTAAATCATAAATTTGATGTTTCTATTTAAGTGTACCTGATAACCCCATTGAAAGTTAGTCCTCGTATTTTCGAGAACTTGATTACTTTGAATGCTGACGGATTCCAATCCTGCAGCCCTTCTCTCCATGAATGCACCAGAATCCTAGAATTTGCCGGTTAAAGATTAAATGGAAATAAAAGAAAAGATAGATTAGGACTCGCAACAAACCGATAAAGGAATGTAGCACAGTTATTACCGGTAGGCCAACCATAATGCTTAGCAAAGAGATGTTGTTAATTCCACTTTTGAGAGCAACTTTGGTCTCGAAAGTGAAATCTGTATTTCTGAAAAATCCATGTCCAGCACCTAACGAGGTTGATCAAAGTCAAATATCTATAATTTCGAAAAACCATGATAAGAATATTATCATTGTAAGGTTGTGTATTTAAAATGCTTCATTGTAACTTACCAACGAGCTCTCCATTGACAAATGCAAGCAAAGCATGCCCATGAGACTTTACCGTAATCATCTGTTCCGAGTCCTTTGTTTGCTGATAGCTGCAATCGGTATGTTATGTTTCAGTTAACAGCTGACAACATCCATAAATGAAAAATACAAGTATAATAATGAATATATTTTTTTTTCGGATTTTTTTTATCTGTATTATAGGTTGAAGCTTGATGACTTGATAAACGGGATCAGAAAAGACCCGAATTTCTGGATATCTACTTTACCTTGCAGTGTACCATAGATAATCAGACGTATCTTTTGTAGTACTCATCTGTTCTAGCAAAAAATCCGACCTCATAGAGGTATCCTCGAGTGTTGGAATAATTTCATTGTATTCTTCCCATTTTTCAGGTGAGTCCAACTTCACAGCTGGTTGCCTTGTTCTTGTATTACTTTGGGTGCTCACCTGTTTTAGATGATCAAAGGTATAAAAATATGTTTTACGTGTTCATTTGTTCATATAACTAGGCTTATACGAACAATTAATAAACTTTCATCTTGCCTTGGCTGTGTTAAACACGACACTTTTGCAGTCTGGCAAAATGCTGATCGACTTTCGAGGAAGTTGATACATTTGGTTTTGAAATTGCACGTTTGCAATTCTTCTGCCACCGTCCGTATTTACCAGAAATGCGACACATTCTCCTTTATCTCCATGATATACATATGCCTGGTTTTGAGAAAAAAAAAACATTATATTGTTCGTAAATAAGCATCTTAACGGAGTAATTTAAGAATCTGTTTAAATTTACGAGTTCTTACATCTTGTAGTGCACCTAAAGAGGTAACATTCCGTGATCCGTAAAGTAGAGTCTGTGAGCACAGCTTTACCGCTGCATGTAGTTCCTGGAGATGACCCCATTTTGGCTGTGTGATTAAGCCTGTAAGTTTTTTCGTAAAATTATGGTTTTCTGTTCTTTGAATGATTTTTTTTACGGAAGTTAAGGTTTCTCTTTTCACTCATATATTTACCGTATTCATCGAGGGGAGCCGGGTCGTAATAACTGGTAATTGCAAACGCAGAGGATGTGTGACCGAAGTTTGTTCCCCCATGATACTGAAACAAGGGAAATTACTTACAAAAGCGACCCCTGGAGTTTTTGTATTTACGCCTTCGAATATATATTCGTTTTACGGGTTGAACAAAAAAAAAACGTACCATGTAATAGTTTATGAAGCTGCCATTCATTTTGGCTATGAACAGAGCAACCTGATAAGCAATGTCCTCAACTGCTCTGATTTTAGTGGTGTTTCCATACACATCATAGCTTCAAATGGAGGAGAATGCAACAAAAATGGTGAGCTATACACACACACACACACACACACACACACACACACACACATATATATATATATATATATACATTTTTCCAGTGCATGGTGTTGAGGGAAATTAACATATGATTTTGTTGTCATATTTATCTTACAAGTGTGTCCAGTTTTCTGTCCAAAGTGCTGGCTTGTTTAGTGAGTTTGGGCCCACAAATGTCTCTCCACATCTTAGTCCATTGCATGTGTTGATCTGCAGAATTTCATAAGAATTTTGAAGGTTAATTGCAGCTTTATGAATTATGATTACTCCTTTTAGTTATATGTGAGTTTGAAATTTCTATTGTTTATTTGTGTAATTTGATCAATGCTTAAGCTTAATTTTCCCCCTCTACCGTGATAGTGTTCGTGTTTCACTATCGTTTTCTCAACTTATCTGTGTATTTAATTATAAGTACGATAATAAGTTCAGACGTAACTAAATTGTTTATCTCGTATTGTTCTTGTCCTGTCATGTCGTCCTATAGTGTCATTTGTCTTCATAATATTGTTTTCTAATGTGCCGAGTTGTGTTAGTTGGCCGGTCCGATTCATTGGAATAAAGCGGTTGCCTGTGAACTAGTAAAAAATCGGCCAGTCAGACCGGATTAAACTGGTTCAGATTTTTAAAAAAGAAAAAAAAAAATTAAGATATTTAAAATTATTTTAATATAATAAAAAATACATATTTAAATATAAGGGGTATATATAAGTTAATTATGAGATAGTTTAAGAATTTGAATGTTTTAAATTGGCTAAGTATTTAATTAACAAAAGCTTTTATATAGTTATTTTTGCTTTATATATCTAAAAATATTAAATATCTGTCCAACTCGTTTAACCACTAGTTGGACCAGTTTGAGGACCTTGAAAGAAACAAATAAGGTCCATCTACTATATGGACCTAGTCATTGGGCTGCAGTTTTCTTACCACGGGATCAGGAGCATCATCTTGCTTGCACATAATCCATGGGACACCAGTCTTAAGGCCCACAGCCATCTTAGCGGCCCAAATAACATATGGCGGCCCTTTATCGTGGAAGCCTCTTTCTACATTTTGGTATTCGTTCTCAATCTGCATAGAAATTTGATGATCCAAAATGGATGAGCTTTAGACCAAAAATAAATAAAAAATAAAACAATATAAATTAAATAAAATCAAAATTTATGTAGAATTCCAACCTGAGAAAGTATAATAGGACCACCTTGTGACGCGTACAATTTCTCTGATTTCATCAACTCAACTATTTTTGTTGTAAAATTCTTCATGTAAAACTGTTCTCCACGACACAAAAGCACCAAAAAAAAAAATATATCGAATCGAAACCGAACCGAAATTTTTATACACTAAAATAACAAAACCGAATCGAACCGCACCGAAATGCGCGGTTCGGTTATGTTCGGTTTTTCGGTTTTGTTTCAATTTTTATGTACATATTATGCAATTTGGGGCGGTTCGGGGCAAAACCGCACCGAACTGAACAAAATCGAAAACCGAACTTAAGAAAAACTATAACCGCACCGCAAATCGAACCGAACCGAGCCGAACCGATTTATTTTTTATATATATATTAAAAAAACGAACCGAACCGAACCGCACCAAATTACTCGGCTCGGCTTGATTTTTCGGTTTTGGATCGATTTTGCTCACCCCTAATTTTAGTACCTTAAATGGCTCATTGTCGGATCGAAATACAATGCCGGGCACGTCATGAAGCCAAAATGGAAATCCTCTATATCACAACAAAAATATGATGTGTTGTTAGCTCTTAATATAAATATTTTTCGATAATTATAAAAATAAATGTTTTTTTATCAAAATTATTTTTTTTATAAAAAAATATGAATAATAAAAAAAGCTTAATTTAATTGGATTACCCGTATGACCATTCACCCTCAATAAAGGGCCCGACCCGAAGGCAAACGTACAAACCCTGAGCTTGAACTTGCTTGATAAATCCCACAATGTCACGTCTGCCACTAAAATCATACTGAAAAAAATTCATTGCAAACAAAATATATAAAAATCATTTATTGTGGGAAATATTTAATGCAATTGAATATTTATAATTATAAATTGAGAACTTTTATTTATGTATGATATAAAAAAAATAAAAAAATAAAAAAAATAATAATAAAAATGAACCTGTCCTTGTTGAGGCTCGTGGAGGTTCCAAAATACATAAGTGTCAATTACATCAAGCCCGCCTTGCTTGGCTTTCCATATAAGTGATGGCCACATCTAATGGATTATAAAATTCATTAAATGTGTTGAAAAAAAAATATATAATATGAAAAATATTCTTAACTTTTTTTTTTTTAATTATTTTAACTTGTAACTTAATTAAGAACACAAATTCTAGTATGCGTTTTCGTCTAACCGTCTGTCGGGTCGACTTGTCATTATTATTGCTTAATAGAAATATATATGTTATTAAAAACGTGAAAATTTTATTTATATTATTTTTGTAAGTATTATATTTCATTATTTCAATCTAAAAAGTATGCATAACGACCAAATAAAAATAGAACCGTCTAACCGTTTGACCAATTTAAAATTTGTAAGTATTATATTTCATTATTTAGTTATTTATATATATACATATACTAGTACAATGTCCGTGTATTACACGGATGTTTGCTATTTTTTTTTCTTAAAATCTAAAATTAATGAGAAAAGGTAGTTGAAAATTTAAATACCTTTTATAATAATATATATTATTATATATTTAGTATGTCACTTTTTATTTGTGTAACTTACCTGTGTTATATTATAATAATGTTTTTAACTTAAAACATATAATAACTACATTACACATAAATATATCAATTGAGAAATAATTATATTTTTCTAATGAATTTTAATAAATATTATTATTTTTTATCATTATAAAGATAACTATAATTTATTTATTTATATATACAATATGGATGTCAAATCGAAGATCATCAAAAGACGATTAATTTGATATATTATATATGTAAAATCGATAATAAATACAAAAGTTATCAACTTTTAAAATACATTTATAATTCAATAGCTAATTGAAGGAAACAAATCAAAAGTTGGGGATATATTAGTCACTTAGTGTCTCACTATGTAAAATTACAAAGAAATAAAGGGTTATATTAGTACAAGTGATATTAAAATACCTAAGTTAGCTAAAATAATTTTTAGAATGTCCAAATCTAAATTATTAATTATTAATATTATGAATATTATTTTTCCTACCTATTACAAAGCACGATTCTTTGACAAGTAGGATTTCGAAGCACCAAAAGCAACCACGTAAGCTCAACGTATTCGGGAATAATATATAGGGAGGATATAATATTATATTATATACTTTTTTTTTTTGTGATACAAAATAAGATTCATGTTGATTCAATATTGCTAATATTTTTTTTTCTTGAAAAAGTCAATAATAAGACAGATAAAAAAGATTTTCCATTAACTTTCATGGATACCCATTTGGGATTTTCTTGCTAATTAAATGAAAGCAAAAAAAGTAGCATAGTTGGGT